TCATAAGATAGCTTTAGGATATTATTCTGCAACACAATTTTAACATTTTATATCTAGATTATTGTATCGATTAATGTCCCGATTAAATTCTTTATTTACATAGTCACTGCGTAATTTTCCCGTAGACTCGGTTTCATCTCATCTTTCACTTCTCAATCCTGCTTTTCGTTTCACTCTTCATCAGTATCTATTTATAGAATAGGAATTATTTCTTTTGAAGTAGGGATATTTTAAAATCCTATTATTGTTTTAACTTAGACTCCGCATTTAATGACATTTCGAATATCTCCGTTTATTTTGCATTAACGCTTGTAGGGTCCCATCAAGTCCTACCTCTAATCTTGTAAAACGCATCGGAAGGCATTCAAGCGGGTGTTTCTGAGTAGCTGCTCTCATACCCATCAGTTTGTGGACATTTCCGATTAAAAGTTGTGGTCTCAATTGCTTGGCTTCAATGCGATCCTTAACCAGCGTCTATTTCGCGCTTCAGGAATTTTTGTTTCCGAGTCGAAACTATTTTGCCTCTTCTTCTCAACACCTTAACCCTGAGTAGAAGTCGCATGTGGATTACTTGAAATGTATTTTCTTCACTTAGGTACTATTTAAATTTTCCTTGAATACATCGCTGTCGTGGCACCCTTGCTCTTCCTGCTACCATTTTTGGCGTTCCTTCATATCGATTATGTTTTACAAACTTGTTGGTTAAACATAAACCAGCTACATGCCCATTAACGAGGGTGGGATTATCGGCGCCTTGGTGGACTCCTCCGGATTTAATGGTCAAAATAGTTGTTGACCAAATTCAAAAGCTGGGTATCTTGACTCTTCATTCAGATGGCTTGGTGCGTAACTAGGTGGTATTTAGTGAAAGATACGTGCACCTACCAAAATGGCCTCGAAGCTTCCGAGAATAATCTATTCCTCCGCAGATGATTCTCCGCTAAATGGTTTTCGAAACTCAAATTCTATCTCCTGCCTCAAACTGCGTCCATCTTTGATGGTCTGGCGGTGTTAGTGATTTCTCATCCGAATATGCTTATTTCGGCGACGGTTGGCTGGGTGAATATGCTCGCCTGAATTGTTGACAATAGGAGCCTCGGGCTTGACACGAGCCATGTCGTGGGTGGAGGAATAGACAGAGGAAAATAATGACCGGCCTTCACAGGAATAATATCCGAGCTCGCCATTGTGATTTGGGATTAACGGCCGGTTTCTCATGGGTCTAAGCATTTGGCTGTGCCTCTAGTTTGTAAATTGTGCCATATGACATTCTCCCTATTTTCGTAAGGCCAGTTCCCGACGCAAGGATCAAAGATAGCTACCGAGGTTGGTGGTAGCTCTCAACTCTTATCAGTGATGCTGGACATGTATACCTTGCTCGGCGAAGCCTATGTTTTCTGGATCATTTGTTCTGCTGATGGTCGCCACATATTAGTTGGCAACTGGGCACTCGAAGACGTGAGCACTGCACGTTTACCGGATGGCCACCTGCAACCCTTCTACTTATCCTACTAGGAAAGCAAATGCGTCGCGCTCCCGATGTACGCTTCGAGTGTGAAGGGGCTGAACGACTTCGAGAATGAGCTAGCGGACGGCATTTATTTCACCCGGGGATAGCCTCATTCACTCTGTATGACATGCGATGTGTATGGCCTAGAATCAGAACTATTCGCCGAGAGTTGGGAGTGCTTCATGCAACTGATGATGGCTTACGCTGTTCTGTAAGGCTTCTGGACAAACACACAGGCTAATCAGCATCGTGCTTCAGAAATAAGTTGTATGAGTACAGCATAGCGGCGTAGAATGTCCAATGAAAATTGTTCAATGTCGCTGTCTCTGTCGGCCTTGCTTGAAGGCAGTCGCTCTGAGTGCTAGGTCTGTCATTTTGGTCTTGT